TTTGAGCAGCGCCGCCTGCAGCTCCGGTGTGCTGTGTTTCAGCATCTCTCCTAGAATGCTGTCAGGACCACAAGATTTATTACCTTTTTGGCTTTTGAGTTTGTTTGCCAATTCTTCATGTGTAATTGGGAAGTCAAGTGGATTTTGATTATTTTTAATTGTCTCTTCATAGGTTTGTAGATTTTGTTTGGTCAGATTATAATTATCATTGAGTTGGTTTGATGGGATTTCTTTATATAAGTTTTCAAAATGATTTGTCCAAATTTCTCCGTCTTGTATTGGTAGGTCTTGTGGTTTTGCCGTGCTCAGATTATTCCACATATCCCAGAACTGATTATGATTTATTGAATTTTCTAATTCTTGTATACTTTTGGTCAGATGGTGTTGCTTCTTTGCTCTAATTTTGTCTTTATATATTTTTAGTTTTGAAAAGTATTCAGTTCTTATGTCAGTGTTGTTTGGTTCTTTATGTTTCAGATTTGATAATTTTCTAAGTTGTTTTCTTAATGTTTTGCAGTCTGAGTCAAACCATTTTGCATCTTTTGGAGTATTTTTAGTGTATTTTTTGCCTTTCTTTTTCAATTCACTTTTCTGTGCTGCTTTTTTAAATATGTTATTGATTTCATTTGTAGCCGAATTAACACCATCTTTAGTTGTTTCGAATTTCTTATTAATAAATGTATTTATTAGATTTTTTATTTCTTCAGAACTGAGGGCTTGGACAAACTTGTCTGCGCTGTCCGTAGCCCATCTGTACCTCTGCTGGACCTGATACATTCGGCAGGTTTCCAGTCGGTTTTGTTCTGGTGTGTGATGTGTTTTGATATAGATGTTAGTTTGGTTATGGTCAGAAAGCGGAGTTTGTTGTTTGACAGTGAATGCATTGAAGGAGGATGGGTCCATGTCAGTGATGGCATAGTCGACTACACTAGCTCCAAGACCTGAACAACACGTGAACCTCCCTAAAGAGTCCCCTCGGATCCTGCCGTTCAGGATGTACAGGCCTGAGGCCCGGCAGAGCTGCACTAACTCTCTACCGGTTTTATTCACTATCTGGTCAAGGTTGTTTCTCGGGGGAAGTTTTCTTGTGATACTTGGGGGGTTTTGGCCAAAGACATATTCATTACCCTTTGGATCTATGTCATCGGGTTCAGATCCAGTTCTTGCATTAAAGTCTCCACACAGCAGCACATTCCCCTGGGCCTGGAAATGGCTGATTTCTGTGTGGATGTTGTTGAGGTATTCCTCCTCATGGTAAGGGGATTCCGCTGGGGGAATGTAGATGGCACAGAGATATGTGTCTCTAGTAGAAATGCCAATTTGGTTTATTTTTAACCAGCAATGAAATTTTCCAACTGAGATAGTTGAAATGTGTTTGGCCAGATGCTCCCTGTACCACACTAGAATTCCTCCCGAGTCTCGTCCACGGTGGACTGTACTTATTTTGACTGAGGGCACAATCACTTCATAGTAGCCTGAGGGACAGTAGGTGAGCGCATCATTTCGACACCAGGTTTCAGTGAGGATTATGATGTCAACATCTTCGATATGTTTTAGAAATTCTGGGTCTGTACTTTTAGAACCAAACGTTGAAGAGTGAAGACCCTGAATATTCCAGCAACTTATTTGAAATGAACGCATTCGAATTCTAAAAGATAGACCTATTTGGTGAGACAGAGAGAAGATAATGTGAAGTACATGTGGAAATGTACATGGCAAACAATTTACATTAGTGCAAAATTACATATATATATAAATATATATAGATGCATACATACATACACATACAGTATATAGTGTTTTTTTTTTTTTTTTTTTTTTTTTAGTAGAGCACTGTGTGTGTTCTTATCTGTTCAGGAGCTGGTTGCACAGTGTGTGCAGCATCTCTCTGATCTGGCTCAGTTCGCTGGCAGGTGTGGAGGTGGAGGGTGGAGCGGGAGGCCGGGCTAAAGCTTCAGCGTAGCTTTGTGCTCTCGGGTGGGGGGATTTCTCTGGGTGTGGGGGGGGGTTTGGTTTCTTCTTCCTGACGGGGGTTTGATGGCCGGCAGGTGAACGTGGAGTTGGTGACTGCAGATTTGCAGGTGTGTAGTGAGCCATAGGTGGGTGTGGACGTGGTGGATGATGTGGGATGCTTGTCCAGCTGATGTCTCTCCTCATCGGGGGCGGGGGGGTGTGTCTGGGCATGTAGGGGTGATTCCTCATCGGGGTCGGGGGGGTGTGTCTGGGCATGTAGGGGTGAATGGGCCGGTAGTGTTCTGGAGTCGGTAGCAGATGTCTCGGTGACGACGGGGTGCGGCCCAGGGCTGCATCTTTAAGGGCCCTTGCAAAAGTGCGCACTGCATCTCTGTGCAGGTGGAGTCCGTCGTACAGGTGGTGGAGGCCGATGTGGTGGTGGTGGACCAGGTGCACGTTTGGAAGTGTAGAACATCTACGGGAAATTTCAGTGTTAATGTTGTGGATGATGTGTGGTGGTGTGTCATGTCTTGGGAGAAGTGTGGAGATTATAATTCGGGATTCTGGGAACTTTTTGCTGGTGATTTCGGCCATTTTCCTGACAGCATCCGCAGTGTTGTTCCGCAGCGAGTGGAGGTCATTGGTCCCAGTGTGGATTATGACACATGAGGGCTGTCCTGGGAAGTCTCTGATGATCTGGTGGGCGTGGCCAGTTGTGCTGCATCGTTTTGCAGAGACTTTCTGATGTGGGAAGAGTTTCTGTGGGTCCAAGAACTTCCCATTAGAGTCCATGAGGAGGAGAATATCTGGATCAGGTTCTGGAGGGGGGGCAGGGGGGGGTTGTGTGTCTGCAGGTGTCTGTGTGTTTGTGGCAGGCTCGCTGTCTGTGTTTGTGTAGTCTGTAGTAGGAGCTGTACTGTAGTGATGTGTGTTGTCTTCTGTGTTTTTCTGTAACTGCTCTCTCATTTCTTGCAGTTGTCTGGAGAAGCTCTCTTCTTTTCTCTCGTTGTCCTCCTTTAGCTTGCGCATCTGTACGCGGAGAGTTTGGTTTTCTCCTTGCAGTTCTCCGAGAGCTCTGTTGAGTTCAGTGATGGAGGAGTTGGTGTCTTTCTTTAGCTGTTTGAGCTCATCTTTGAGCTCTTGGATGTAAATGTTTGTGTTGCGTGTGTCTGAGAGTTTGACTTGAGTGTGTTCTCTAAATTCAGTGAAGTCCAGTTCCAGCAGAGCTAAACTGTCTCTCAGTCGCCGGTCTGATGGTGCAGGTGAAAGAATCGCTGGGCCTTCCTCCTCAGAGTCTGTGCTGTTTGCATGAGGCTCGTCTCTCTCCTCCTCTACTCTGGCCTTCAGCCGGGGGAAGATCTCCTCGAATGAGTTCAGGCTTGCCTCATTGCCTTGCAGAAGGAAGGTGCCTTTAGTGTAGTAGGTTATGGTGAGAATTGGGTTGTCTGTGTCAAGCATTTCATCTTTGCATATAGTTAATCTTCCACCTCGACCGATTCCTTCTTTAAAAATGTTCTTGAATTCCTCACAGATGGCTGATTTCCATGCTGTTATCAAACTGGTGTAGAAGATAAGGTTGTTCTTGATTCTTCTCCCATTAAGTTGAATGTAGTCCGCATAAAGAAGATCAGGGTTGTCTCTGAGAGTTTTCTCTTTGTGTTTTTTTCTGGCCTGTACACTTCTGCACTTCTCTGGGTAAAGCACCTCCCCCCTGCACTCTGTGTGCGCCAGGGTTGCCATGGTGATCGGGCTGGGCACTGAGCCAAGACTGCAGCTAACTTAGCTTTTAGCTTGTAATAATGAGAGATTTTACTAGAATAATTCAGAATATACAGATTTTGTTTAAGATTTTTGCCAGATAAAGCTCATCTCTCTGTTTAGTAACTGAATATCAGAAGTTTTGTGAAGTTTTTCAGCTGTAGTTCCTTTAAGAAAGCCTTTCACGTTTTGGAGGGAAAACTCCAGTTAGCTGTTAGAGTGGAGACTCAGTAGCCAGATGCTAGTCCACAGGTTCAAGTCTTCTTTCTTGTATTAAAATGTATTTTCTAGTAAAAAAATTGGTCTTTACCCGAGTCCAAGTTGTTCTTCTGTTGTTTTTTCTTGTTTGTTGTCGTTATCTCACTCTCTGTCTCATTCTTTGGTTCATTCTTTTATAATTTTTCAGGAGCTCATCTTTAGAGTGGCTGATCAGTGTCTTCTCTCTCTCTCTCTGTCTCTGTCTCTCCCTCTCTCTCTCTCTCTCTCTTTCTCTCTCTCTCTGTCTCTCTCTCTCTTTCTCTCTCTCTCTGTCTCTCTCTCTCTCTCTCTCTCTCTCTCTGTCTCTCTCTGTCTCTCCCTCTCTCTCTCTCTCCCTCTCCCTCTCTCTCTCCCCTCCCCACTTCTCTTGGTCTCTGGCTCATGTTAGATCCTGTCTATTTCACCAACGAATGAAACCCCACCTCCTCCTGTCTCTCTCTCTCTGTCTCTCTCTCTGTCTCTCTCTCTCTCTCTCTCGGCGGTGTGGACTCCTGGCTGTGTTTAATTGCCGAGTGGCAAGATCTGAGGGAAAGATCGGGAATCACATGGAGCCGCTGCGTCTGTCAACGCTTTACGAGCCCCAACCCCGGGAGAGAGAGACCGAGAAGGTGTAGGAAGGAAGTGTTTGGAGTTTGGGAAAAGGGTGAGTTGAGTCTGAGAAGGGAATTTTTTTACGCAGTGGTGAAAAAAAAAACGTGTAGAGAGAGGTGAAAGACTTCAGGAGAAGGAGAGTTGGAGAAAAAAAAGGAGGGAGGGAAGGAGGGAAGGAAAGAAAAGAGGCCCACCAGTAGAGAAAAGGGCAACAAGCTGCGTTCGGGAAGAACGAGAGAACATTGGGAAAACAAGAGTAAGTTAGAAAAAGCACCAGGAGGAAGGAAGGGGGAGGTGAGAGACAAAAAGTTGGAGAGGGGAAGTGCGGGAGAAAGAAAGCGAGAGAGAGACTGTAAAACGCAGTGAGACGCAGATGAGAAAAACAGACGCCGTGGATGGAGAGAGAACCAGTTGTTTTCTAAGTCGGATTTGGGACTGGAATGCACTCGGAGAACACGAATGCGAGATTTCAAACTCATTCCTGCCACTTTTGCCTGGAGCAGGGAGTCCGACGCACACCGGGCCCCGTTGATGGATCATGTGTGCGTATGGAGTCGGGAATAGCCCCGTTCCCGAAGGAGTTGGGGATAGACGGAGCGCCACGGCAAGTTTATGACAGGGAAATACAACATCCATGCTATTCCTGGGTGGATGTACGAACGCCCAGGTGGGATTCTCCGTGCGTTCGGGAGATCCGGCGGGAATGTGGATGCGTTCAGCGTTGGTATTACCCGGAGTTGCTCCATCCCTTTAATGGGGGCCATGTTTTAAAGGTCAGAGGTCAACGGTACTTCTCGTCGGATCAACATCAGCGGGAGTGGGATGACGTCCACGGATATAACGGACATTGCACAAGGAGACGGGTGTCTTTCCGGCATCACGGAGAGCAACACACGCTTAACAGCCCTGGGATCAGCAGACAATCAAGTCCTGGAAAACCACACAGTAATGGGGAAAACTCCGCTTTTTTCCCAACCGAGGTGCCCTCCAGCAAGTTGGGGCGCTCGAGGCTGCAGGTGAACGGGTCGAAGAGGGAAATAAGGACGGATCAGGGATGCGTAGGTCTGGAAAACCATGGCAACCAGAGGAAGAGCCAGGGAACAGTACGGGAACAGATCAAACAAGTGGTCAATGAGCTCGAGGAAGTGCTGGGTGGTCTCAAACAGGTCCAGTTGGAGATGAAAGAGGTGAGGATGATGGAATAATAAATAGAGAGAATAATGTTCAAAAATTTGGGATTGTTCACCCAAAATTCTGTTATTTACTCATTCAATTCAATTAATTTCACATTTTTTACAATACATTTTGTTTCAAAGCAACTTTACAAAAAAATGCATGAGTCTAAATACAATTTAGAGTGATCTGTTATCAGAGTTACAGATAAAGTTATGTATTTCAGGAATGTACATATACAAATCACACAGTTAGCTAATAATGTATTCATGTAAACAATGTATTAATTTAAGGCAGAAACAATGAGCTCGTTGAAGTAATGAATACTTAAATTATTAGAATATATAGAAAAATGGTTGCATGCAATTTTTCTTAAATCGATACTTCACCCAAAATTAAAATTATTTTATTTTACTCACATGTTCCAAACCCCGTATGACTGACCTTCCCCTGTGGAACATAAAAGAAGATTATTTGAAGAACATTGAGAACCAAACAACATTGGACCCCATTGACTTACATTGTATTTACCCCCAAAAAACGGACATTTCTCAGAATATCTTCTGTTCCACTGAAGTCATAAGTTTGGAACGACAAACAGTGAAATGACATGCTGTTGGTGACCGGCTACTCTTTATAATGAGTTTTCTACATGAGGAAACATTCATATAACAAGATCTGTCACTGATTTTGGGTTTAACATATTTGAGATGGGATTTTAATAAGCATAGAGACTGGATAAGATCAAAACCTTCATTCTGTTTAACCAGTGGAAATATATTATCTGTGTGTTCTTAGCAAACATCTTTGTAATAAACCTATTCTGAAAAAACAGCAAAACTAAACATCATCTGAAAGCCTTCAGAAGCCAAAACACACATCTGCCAAAAAATGAACGGTCAATTATATTCAGCAGAGCTGGAAATGTTCCACTGAGAGCTGATTGTATAGAGGAATATTGTATTTTCTGGATGGGAAGTGGCCAGTTCTTAAGCCCATCACAAAGGCCTGTTAAAAGAGAACAGAATATTAAAATCAATACCTAGAGATAGCTTAATACGTGCAGATTGACATTAGCAATAATGGACTGTGCAGGACGTAAAACATTAATTGAATTATTTAGACATGTTTCAATGGATGCATCAAGACTCCCATAAGATGTAAATGACTGCAGCCGGAAAGAAAGTCAGTAGATTAATGCATCACAAAGTAGGAATCCAAAAAAGTTATGTTATGACATCTTTACCTGATGATGACATGTGAACAAACTTCAAAGGGGAAAGACGATTGTTCTATATTTTCTATATCATTGCAGGTTAATGTTCAGAGCAGAGGCATTAAAGTACCGAGACGTTTTTTTAAAGCACTGATTGGTTTGTTTGAGAGGCATGACATGTGAATTTCTGACTCAGCCAATGACGTGCGTTTAGGGGCGGGATTATGATTGATTAATGACAGATGGGCTTTAGAAGTGTGTGGGAAACTTGTTTTGAAACCTACAATGATTTTGTAGATGTAATCATGACAATTTTAGTTTATTTTGAGGTTTTCTAAGTTATGTTAGTTATATTTTTGTTTCAGTTTACAATTTTGTTTCGGTTTTGTTACCTATAATAACTCAATATGATTGCAAAAACCATTGGCGTCATACTTGGTGCAACACATTTCAATGCACCATGTTTGAATGTGTGAATGTGAACGCAGTGGCAGAGAAGAAGAAATCCAGTGAATATTTCCAGTAAAAAATTAATAAATGACTACAGAAGTGCCTTTTTGTTGTGCGTTTAGGGGTGGGATTATGATTGATTAATGACAGATGGGCTTTAGAAGTGTGTGGGAAACTTGTTTTGAAACCTACAATGATTTTGTAGATGTAATCATGACAATTTTAGTTTATTTTGAGGTTTTCTAAGTTATGTTAGTTATATTTTTGTTCCAGTTTACAATTTTGTTTCGGTTTTGTTACCTATAATAACTCAATATGATTGCAAAAACAATTGGCGTCATACTTGGTGCAACACATTTCAATGCACCATTTTAAATGTGTGAATGTGAACGCAGTGGCAGAGAAGAAGAAATCCAGTGAATATTTCCAGTAAAAAATTAATAAATGACTACAGAAGTGCCTTTTTGTTGTGCGTTTAGGGGCGGGATTATGATTGATTAATGACAGATGGGCTTTAGAAGTGTGTGGGAAACTTGTTTTGAAACCTACAATGATTTTGTAGATGTAATCATGACAATTTTAGTTTATTTTGAGGTTTTCTAAGTTATGTTAGTTATATTTTTGTTCCAGTTTACAATTTTGTTTCGGTTTTGTTACCTATAATAACTCAATATGATTGCAAAAACGATTGGCGTCATACTTGGTGCAACACATTTCAATGCACCATTTTTGAATGTGTGAATGTGAACGCAGTGGCAGAGAAGAAGAAATTCTGTGAATATTTCCAGTAAAAAATTAATAAATGACTACAGAAGTGCCTTTTTGTTGTGCGTTTAGGGGTGGGATTATGATTGATTAATGACAGATGGGCTTTAGAAGTGTCTGGGAAACTTGTTTTGAAACCTACAATGATTTTGTAGATGTAATCATGACAATTTTAGTTTATTTTGAGGTTTTCTAAGTTATGTTAGTTATATTTTTGTTCCAGTTTACAATTTTGTTTCGGTTTTGTTACCTATAATAACTCAATATGATTGCAAAAACGATTGGCGTCATACTTGGTGCAACACATTTCAATGCACCATTTTAAATGTGTGAATGTGAACGCAGTGGCAGAGAAGAAGAAATCCAGTGAATATTTCCAGTAAAAAATTAATAAATGACTACAGAAGTGCCTTTTTGTTGTGCGTTTAGGGGTGGGATTATGATTGATTAATGACAGATGGGCTTTAGAAGTGTGTGGGAAACTTGTTTTGAAACCTACAATGATTTTGTAGATGTAATCATGACAATTTTAGTTTATTTTGAGGTTTTCTAAGTTATGTTAGTTATATTTTTGTTTCAGTTTACAATTTTGTTTCGGTTTTGTTACCTATAATAACTCAATATGATTGCAAAAACCATTGGCGTCATACTTGGTGCAACACATTTCAATGCACCATTTTTGAATGTGTGAATGTGAACGCAGTGGCAGAGAAGAAGAAATCCAGTGAATATTTCCAGTAAAAAATTAATAAATGACTACATAAGTGCTTTTTTGTTGTGTGTTTAGGGGCGGGATTATGATTGATTAATGACAGATGGGCTTTAGAAGTGTGTGGGAAACTTGTTTTGAAACTTAAAATAATTTTGTAGATGTAATCATGACAACTTTAGTTTATTTTGAGGTTTTCTAAGTTATGTTAGTTTTATTTTTGTTTCAGTTTACAATTTTGTTTCGGTTTTGTCAACTATAATAACTCAATATGATTGCAAAAACCATTGGCGTCATAGTTGGTGCAACACATTTCAATGCACCATGTTAATATGTAAATATAAACGCATTGGCAGAGAAGAATAATAATTCCAGTGAAAAATTATTAAATGACTACAGAAGTGATTTGTTGTCCTTTTTGGAGCTTGACAACCTCTGACGTGCAAAACAGCATCTATTCTGTACAGCATAAAGTTGCTTTTTATTTTTAAGCACACTAATCTTTTAACTTTGTTTTTGATTGTGTCTGTGAAGGTCGTCCAACAGATCGATGTTCTGACGTCCCACATTGACCTTGATGAAGAAGAAACAAGTCCATCCAATGGACTCTCCCAAGATGCCACCAGAAGCAGTCGGACTGATGTTGTGGCGTTGATCCACTATTCGAATGGTGAAGAGGACACGACTTCCGACTCTTCCCTCGCACACAGCCCTGTGGATTTAGTTCACAATAACAGTCCTTCGCCAATGAGAAACCACACAAGCCTGTCCTCTCCTGAACAGAGACCCGTTACTGTTGAGGATAAAGGCAGAAGAGTTGTGAAACAAACCTTAGAGACTCAAAGGACTCAAAGGACGCTCAATGGAAACTGTCTACCACACCGAACGGCAAGGAAAGGGCAACTGGAAAACCACAGACCCCCAGTAGTTCCAGTAGTGTGCACTAACTCAAATAAAACCCACCGGCCTCCACCTTACCCTCAGAACGGACAGCTGAAGATGAGGACACCTCCTTACCCTGGAAAACATAAGATGCTCTCCTCCACCATAGTGTAAGGACACAAAACTAACTAACCCAAAGACAATCAAACAAACACATCATGCATTCTCACAGACACAGTTGCACACATTAATCAATCACTCGGTCGTAATGTTCCTTGGTGACGAACCTCAGGGTAAGTGGACACTACATGTCCTCAGAAGAGCATGTGCTTGCTGTGTTTATGCTCATGCATGTCTAAACACACACAATAATGCATATACAAAGTTTGGGGTCGGTAAGGTTTATTAATGATTTTGAAAGAAGTCTCTTATGCTCACCTGGGCTGCATTTATTTAATCAAAAATACAGTAAAAAAAAAGAAAAGAAAAAAAAGAGTAATATTATTGTAATTTAAAATAGCAGTTTTCTGTTTGAAAAATGTAAATTATTCCTGTGATTAAAGCTGAATTTTCAGCATCATTACTCTCGGTGTCACATGATCCTTCAGAAATCACTCTAATATGAACATTAATTATTATTATCAGTGTTGAAAACAGCTTTATATTTTTGTGTGACATTTTTGGTCTTTTTAATGAATAGAAAGTTCTAAAGAACAACATTTATTTGAAATATAATCTTTTGTAACATTATAAATGTCTTTACTGTGACCAATTTGATCAATTTAAAGCGTCCTTGCTGAATAAAAGTCTTCTTTCAAAAAATAAGAAAAAATCATACTGACCCCAAACTTTTGAATGGTAGTCATAATATAAGAAAGAAAAATACACAAATGACATCTCGTTAATATCAAAAAATGTTCTGCTACAATGAGATTAAATGAAGAGCACATGGAAATGTCTGCTTTCAGCCTTTTCTCTAGAGAAAACCTCACATCTCCTCAAAAGTTGTAGAAGAGATCTCAAAAACGTCTTAAATTTGATAAGATGTCAAAGAGCTGCAATTTACATTCATTTTATACATGCCGTCAACAATGATCTAGTAACAATTATTCAAAGGAATATCAAGAGAAAATCCCAAAAGTGCTGCACATCATGTGTCTTTTGAATCGTGTGTTTAAGGAAAAACCCTCCTCGCTATTATAACAGACACCATCCACATGTGTTTTTTCTTATAGTTATTATTTCCCAGAAAAGAAAAGCATGGTGGGGTCTGCCTGAACTGAATCATTTCCTTAGAAATACAGACCAAGCTATTTGTGATGAAGATAGTCAACACAATGACTCAGTGTTAACACGGCTAACTATGCGTCATGAAAGATGTCTTCCATCTGTTTCGCAGGAAAACACGGTGTCAATATACGCTTGTTTCCTCAGATTACACTGAGCTTTGTTGTTTGCCCTGCGGGGAGATGAACGGTGTTGAACGCTTTGCAATTCAAAAACCTTTTCCCCATTGAATTACCTCAGATCCGAGGGTGAACATGACTTCGGCTTTGGGACTATTGTGTTGCTTTATCACAGAGGAATTCAGGATACCATCAGGAATGTCTGATAAACATCATATTCACGGTTGATTATATCGGGTCTTCTTTGAGGCACGTTAAAAGATCAAACACCGGAAATCATCTTACGCCGCTGTAGACAAAATGCAGATAATATTACCTCGTCCATTAATTAAATTAACTATGCCCTGAAGACAGTGAGTGCATGCCTGTGCAAATTTGGAGGTTGACGGGTCATTGCTTTGTGGTTGCTAGTGCTTTCTGGGTGGATCCTTTACAGGCTTAAAACAAGTCTCTAAGATTATTATCATCCCTAAACATGCAACTCACACTGCAAAAAATGCTTTTCTTACTTAGTATTTTTGTCTTGTTTCCAGACAATCTTAAATCAAGATGCATTTACTAGATGAGTAAAATGCCATAAAATATTATGTCTTGTTTTCAGGGGAAATAAATCAAAATGAAGTGAGTTGTTGCTTAAATAGAGCAAAAATGATCGGCCAATGGGATAAGAAAAATAATCTTCATTCAAACAGAAATATTTTTCTTATCCCACTGGCAGAATATTTAGCTTGTTTTAAGCAACGACTCACTTAATTTTGACACATTTCCCCAGAAAACAAAAAAATAATATTTTATGGCATTTTACTACTTTAGTAAATGCATCTTGATTTATGAATTTTTAGATATTTGGACTGGAAGCATTGGAAAAACATGCTTCTTGAAAACTGTACTTATAGATCCAATTCGGGCTGAAAGTTGAAGTAAAATATACCAACAGTTACATCCTTGATGCCTTTTCACACACATGATGATTATAGGGGCAGATTATTTATTAATAATAACTTATTTTCACATAGTTCCATGCAATCTTACAAATGACAGCGATTCGGCTCTAACGCTTCAACTAACGATTGTATCAATTTCATCGTTACACCAGTAGGTGGCGACAAGTGACTTAAAGGGATAGTTCACTACTTTGAAATTAATTTTTGGTATGTTTTAGCTTTCCTCAAAGGCATTCAAGATGTAGGTGTCTTTGTTTCCGCAGTAGTTTCAATTTTGATATTTTTAGGTCAAACCGTTCTTGTCTGTCAGTCATATAATGCAGGTCTATGGTCACCACCTCAAAGAGCATGCACAGAGAAGTCCAAATTAAACATGATTTAATGACTCGTAAATGTAAGTACACATTGATGGCCTAAGACACGAAACGAGCGGTTTGTGTGAGAAAACGAACAGTATTTATATCGTTTTTACCTCTTGTAAACACAGCCACGTCCAAGTGATCTGAGGGCGCGGGCGCTTCGGTCTGTGCGTTACAAGCGGTAAAAATATATAAATACTGTTCGTTTTCTCACACAAACCACTCGTTTCGTGTCTTAGGCCATCAATGTGTACTTACATTTACGAGTACCTACATCTTGGATGCCCTTGAGGTAAGCTAAAACATATCAAAAATTTATTTCAAAGTGAACTATCCCTTTAAAAATATATTTGTCATTGAATCATTCATTCAAGAGATTCGTTCGGAAAACACTTGATTCATCCAGCACTGAAAAAAGCTAAGTCTTTATGAGAGAGTCATTGAATCATTCACCCAAACTGATTTTTTTTTTAATAATTCATTCAGATTAACTAAACATTAAATAGACTACAGAAATTAACATTTTGCAATTAGGTTATTTTTCTTAGTTTTCGGTTCAGAATTAATGGGAGAATCTCTATTTGAAACAAAAAAAATCATGATTCTCAATTTTCCCAGAATCGTGCAGCTCTGATGTAAACACAATACTTTACATTTACATTTATTCATTTAGCTGACGCTTTTATCCAAAGCGACTTACAATTGCTATATATATGTCAGAGGTCGCACGCCTCTGGAGCAACTAGGGGTTAAGTGTCTTGCTCAGGGACACATTGGTGTCTCACAGTGGATTCGAACCCAGGTCTCTCACACCAAAGGCATGTGTCTTATCCATTGCGCCATCACACCCCCACCCCCACCCCCACCTTTAATCAAATTGATGTGATTAAGCTCATAATCGTAGCAAAATAAGTGCCGTATACCAATTTTAATTGCAATAAACAGGCATGTAAACACTTTAAATCACATCTATTCCACTCTAGAAACGTGCAGGTTCGTAAACATAGCGGTAAAGAAAGGGTCACATTTTTAGGGTGCTGAAGAAACCCGACAACATTGTGCAACATGAATATAATGCAGTATATTAAAAGATGAAAACATCGAAATGAAGACATTTTTAGGTGCATCACTGAAAAAAAACCACTATACGTTCATAAAAACATCTTTAAACGGCTTAAAACAGTGGCCAGTAACACGTCTACTGTATGCGAGATGATCATTCGTGCTGTGCGTTGGGCTGTGTAAATAATAGTGGTAAAAAGGACCACAGTTCTTAGTGAATAACCAGAAAAATAAAATTACATGTAAACAGGAGTGAAGAGGTTTGCATGTGTCATGTAAACGCCTTACTCTGATTATTAGAAATAATCATTGGTGCACGTTCATCTGGAGCACAAATTCACACACTGAACTTTAACACTTCTGAAAAATCCCTGGCTTAGGATAGGAAGCACAACTCGGAAAACTAGAATTTGACACTATTCCCTGACGTATCCAACATTCCTCTGGGGTTAAAGTTAAAATGGCAGATGTGATCTTTGTGTGCGGTTGAGAACAAAAGGGACTGATTTCTTTCTGCCGGGATCTGAAAGCAATAGTTATGGTTTGGCATTGTCCTCTAGTGGAGGGTATGTGTCTCTGCAAGACTGGCCCTTATGTCTGGTTTTCATTAGAAACCACTTGGCTCAGAGCCTAACCGAATGAGGCAAGCTCGTACAATATTTGTGATGGTCAAATAAACACAGGCATTTTCAGACATCGTTTACGATGACGGCCACCCACTATCTGGGAGGGCACAGCAACAGCTGAGCTCGACACACACACACACACACACACCAGGAAGAAGGTGCATAACAGACAGCGGATGTTTTGGTAGACGTGTTTATAAAGAACGCCCACCGTTTGGTGCCTTCGCTCAGGCTACACACTGCAAAAAATGCTATACTTAGTATTTTTGTCTTGTTTCCAGTTCAAAAATCTAAAATTTCTTAAATCAAGAAGCATTTACTAGATAAGTAAATGACATAAGAAATTATATCTTGTTTTCTGGAGAGTAAAAAAAATCTAAATTAAGTTTGTTTTTGCTTAAAACAAGCAAAATGATCTGCCAATGGGGTAAGAAAAATGATCTTAATTCAAATGGAAAACAAGAAAAATCATCTTAATAACCTTAAAATATATAATTACTTATGTCACTCTAAATGCTTCTTGATTTAAGAAATGTTTGATATTTGAACTGGAAACAAGACAAAAATTATTTTTTGCAGTGTGCAAAAGAAAAAAATGGAGAGAAATGAGTGAATAGTGTCAGTGAAAGTAAGAGTATAAACTGAGCTATATAAAAGGTAATGTTTATAGCAGCTCAGATCATTTGATCTTGTGAGAACTTGACTTTTGCACACTTTAATGTCTTGAGAACTTAACATTTCCTTTGGAGAAACATATGAGAAACAAGAGACTT